ATTGTATGCATATTTTATATATAGCAATTGTATATGTACGATACTTTAAGTTATGTACGTACTTATATATGTTAAGAAAAGAACTACTGCCGACAAACTGCTGCGCAGTTTAGCAGATGTAACTCCATGTAATGAAATTGTTACTTTCGAATTGAAAATAAAAAAAGTATCAACTTTAACAAAAATAAATTGATGATATTTGAAAATAAATCTTTTATTGATTTTAGTCCCATGGAGGTCATTGATTTTAGTCCCATTTGAGACTACTAGGGACAAAGTGTCTTTTTTAAGCATTTTTCACTAAAAATATTTTTCAGTATAGCATTGTGAATGCAAAATTGATCAAATATAATGTTATTAAAGTAATTCAGATTTCTAAACAAACATCATTTTAAAAAGTGTCAGGAGATTCTTATGGGTAAATATTATTAAATCTAATACATAAAGTTTTAAACAGGGTACACTTAAATCTTGATAAATTTATGCCATTGCAACACACAAATGATATAAATTGTGATATTCAAAAATTTTTTTGTGATTATACCTATCACCTTACATAATATATGTGTCTAGTTCTCCGGTTGACTAGGAGAAATACGTATCTAAAAGCATTAAGCTTTCTACTTGTATAATGTTGCGTGCAGTAAATTTTAAATAAATAAATGATAACTTAGAAAGTTGGTAATTTTTTACGAATTCCTTAAATAAATATGTTCAAATTCAATAAATTTATCTCATCAAGTTATTATATTAGCCATGACTGTAGAGCCTTAGTTACCTGGCTACCGTTTATTGCTCGATGCAAAATGGAATTACTCATTAAGCTTCTCCAATTTCGCCTGACAAGGAGTAATATATCGGTATATTACGAGCTATAATATTTGTTACACAAACCGGATAACATTGCTATGTATTATAATATTAAGTAATACATTTCAAGTTCTAATAATAAATTACCTAATACCTAATATTATACCAATATTATAAAAAGGAAAGATTTAATTGTTTGTATGTTTGTTTGCAACGAATAGGCTCCTACGAGAAGCTACTATGTGGTAAACATAGGCTATATTTTATCCCAAAAAACAGCAAATAAAGGTATGAAAATGGGAGTATAAGTTTGTATAGGGGATTAAAACGTTACCTTAGTTACCATTGTTCAATATTCAATTTGTCATTGTAATTATTTCCGTGTCATGATATAAATCGATATCCAAATAAACAGTTCCGTGGGGACCACGCGGGCGAAGCCAATGACGGAAAGTTAGTAATACTATAAATGTAAAAAAAAACATTAACTTATCACCACACGCAGTCGTAAATACTCGTACCAACAACAAATAAAGGGTTCATATTGGTGATTTAATCTTACTATAAATAACTTTACTAATATATTTAATTGTTGTATAGTTTTACTTAAAGCCCTGTTAGAAAAATAAGAAAATTGGTTAGAATCCGCTTTTTTTTGTTGATTTCACAGCTTTATTATTCGTACGCCAATAGTTGAGGTAAAAAATATGATGGTACCTGATGGTACCCACGGTGCCGAGCTCTATCTAGAAGTGTCCCTCATGATTATATATTGGGCCCTATTCTACTATCGTATATTGTTCGCAAAGACTATAGGTATACTTAACTGCACAATGCTTATTATAAAGACTTTTTTCTATATAAGTAGTCCTTTAAATAGTAACTTGTCATTTTAGAGTATAAATGACGATCGGTGCGGTGAATTCCAAATCTTCCTTTGCTCTGGGCAAAGGAAGATTTGGAAAAGAAGAGATAATTTGCTGTATGGGCGAAGATTTTAATTACGAGAGACACCTAAATACTAAAACTAACGTTTTAGATATCTAGAAGCACATGGATCATTAATTATAGAGTAAAGAATAGAATAGATTCTCAAGTCCCGACTTTGGCGAATTAACTAATAGAATTTTACTCGAAACCGGAAGAAAATGTTTGACAGACCTTAGAATATTTATGATTTTCCGGCTAATATAATCCACCTCAATCTTCTAGCTCAACATGTTATTATCAATAGAAAGTCCAAGGTTGAAGACATGAGACATATATTCTATGATAGAACTTCTGCATGTCAGAGGCGTTTAAAGAGCTCATATCTAATTTAGATAATGCATAACGGCTACCAACTATAATAGCTTAACACTTACTGGCATTCACGCAGATGAAAAAAACTTGGTCACTATTGATCGAGCATATAGCATCATTCAAATTTTCGCTGTGAACTTGTGCATAAACTTGAAGATCGTCTGCATAAATTTGAAGGTTGGGAAAGATCAAATTAACGAAAACAGACAAAATTAAAGGAGATATAATTCCGCCCTGGGGAACATCTGCCGCTAAAGTGCACCAATTAGACAAGTTGTCTTTGTGGTGTGTCGCATGCCTGCGTCCCTGAAGATAGGAAGAAAACCAGCCAAGTTCGGTATAAGAAACATGCAGGCGTGAGAGGATTGCAAGGATAATGACGACATTAAGGCGTTCGTAAAGTCTTACTATACTTATACTGTCAGTCGTTTATCTTCAATACCTTCGAGTATGTCCTCCATAATTTTAAATAACGTAGTCGTAGTGCTGTGTCCTGACCAAAATCAAGACTGGCACTCCGAAAGAACATTATATTTAAAAAGGAAAGCTGCGATTTGACGATATACAACTGCTTCGAGAATTTTCTAAAGAAATGGAAGAACTAAAATTGGCTTGTAATGTTTGAGGGTAGTCGGATTTTTCTTTTTTGGTAGTGGCAACACATGCGCTCCACGCCATCTCTGAGGATGAATATTCCGGTGGAAAGGGACGAATTAATTATATGTATGATGATGAAGAGGATACTGTCTAAACACAAGATTATCATGAGACGACTGATTTCATCACATCCGACTGCGTTAGACTTAAAGGACATTATATTTCACGAAATGAAAAAAATATATATTGGACAACATTACATACATTGTCTAGATCCCAGATTAATGCAATTGTAACACCCACATCTAAGGCGATATAGAATAGTTCATTTTCTAAATTAACCCGGCTGGGAATCTAATCCGAGACAACTTGCCACCAGCTTGTAAGTCATTTGGCCACAGAGGTCATTACCTGAGATGAAGATAATATTAAAAACATTACGATCTCATTAATTTACCTTTATTTTGTAAGAATAAAGTCGTAATTTGTACTTACTATTTTTATTGACCCGAATGTTTCGAATATATTCATTTTCGAAGAATTCCAACTCTATAAGCTTTTTACAAAAAAAGACTAGAAGTTTTAACTGCATTCGTTATTCAGTAATAAATTCTCTTAACATCAAGCCTAAAATTAGGTTAATGTTTGCTAGCCATTAACTTAGAGCACTAACTCCTCGTAACTTAAGTGCCACGGAGTAAGAAATACTACTTGAATTGATGACTTGTTCCGTTAATCCAATATGGACGGTATATTTTCGGTTCCCAGTTTAAGTACATTAGTCCGTTCTGTTTTTCTATTTTGCCCGGGGAATTGGTAGTTCGACTTACCAATTGTTTATTGGCTGATTATATGCCTCTTATTCTATTGTAGGGATAAATACATGCGACGGTTGCATGGAAGAAATTGCTTTATAGCAATAAGGCCGCCGATTGTACTCTAAATATTTGCTTGTATTCATGTTTTTTCTTTGTGGTGTACAACATAGTGTTCATTCTTTCAAGTTTTTTTATCAGTATCTTTGTATTTGTTACTGTTAATCATATTCATGTTTTTCTATATTTTTATAGAACATAATTGAACGTAAATGTCTATAAACATGTTGTAATAGTGATCTTTTCAGGTTTGCTATTCAGCATTTGAGGTTGGATCAAAGCTTTACAATCTTTGAAATCGCTTCTATTCTCTAATGGTTCCACAGAGTTGTGTTCAACGATATCCGTCTTATTACAAAACGAGGACTAATTTTAGTGCCAGGTTAAACCTTTTCCGGTCAAAATTAGTCAACAAGTCTTAGATAGATAGATACAACATACTTTGAACATACTTTTTTACATATAAAAAATACAATTATATACCTAATCTAGTCTTAGAAGTCTTAATTTAATGTTTACTCTTTTGTCATTGTCAACCAATGATATTACAATAAAAAGGGTAGATAGGTCATGTCAGTACTAATACGATGTCAAAAATTGTCCTCAGCATATACATTAGCACATGGTGTGATACTCTCCAATTATTCATCGTCACATACCAGATATATAATGATGTAATGCAAGTTTAATGCCTACTTTTACCTAAACGAGTTTAAGAATTTGATCAACAGTTCAACTTAAAAATGTTGTTGTCAAACATTATTATTTCCCTTTGTCGTTAGTGTATACATTATTTGCCCGTATATAAATAATGAAACTTTTCAAGCGATAAAATAAACCTGACACTGATATATAATAACACGAGGGCTTCTATGGAATTCGGAATCGGAGTATTTTTTTAGCTCTGGAGTTAGGTTTCGATGCTCCGAATTCAAACCCCTGAGTTTCGGAGCTTCAGCCTCATGTAGATTTTTAAATACATGTAAGGTAGAGCGTAGGCAATAAAGTTGAATTGTCCGTTCTGTAACTTACATAATCTTCAACAGATCTTTTTACAATTTGTAACCGGAGTATTAACTCTTTCTTTTTATGACTCATTATTTATTTTTCTTATTATAACGCAAATCAACAAAAAATCTGTACTTATGAATGAAATAAGACCCCTTGGTCTTTAAACGACTTAATTATGTTGTTTCAATAGTTTCCATTTTTTTTTTACTGGAGCGGTTGATAGAACAATAATTAATAATAAATGTCTCAATAAAAATTTAATCTAATATTTCGATACACTTACCTTTTTTTTAATCTTTGGACTTAACAAGATTGTACCACGACTCGGATCTCTGAATCATTTATCACATTTTACTGGAGCCGAACTTTTGTGCATTATCTAGAAGGCAAAAATGCCGTGCACTCATAAAACAAACTTTCCAGACTCTTTTTATAAATGCTTAATTAGAACGTGACAATATTAGGCATTAATACTCAAACCCAATTTAAATGTAAATATTTATTTGTTCACATATGAATATTAAACTATTTTTTATTGCTGACCATAATTCTCATCAAACACAACGTACCTATTAAACATTTATTTAAGTGTTGTCTTTTCAAATACTAAATAAATGGCAAATTGACGGAGTTTTACAAAATCTTAAAGCAAACTCAAACTTTTTGAGATAATATAGTGTTGACTGTGCAAATAATAAAATAAATGAGCATTGCCATTCTGTTATAATGTGTTGGCATTAGAAATTCGATTAAATAAAACCTAATTCAAAAGGTTATAAAGGCTACTTTTTATTGAATCTCTTATGCTGTCACAGTGCACTGTTCGACATTGCGCTCGGCGCTGTAACTTTGCCGATTCCACTAGTCTTGTGTAGTTCGCGAACGACCTAGTTCGGAAGAGCGATCTTATGGACGAACTGCGAGAACTATTTCGCAGACCCGTCGCTCCTTAGTTCGTTCGTTCGACGGCGCTCGGTGCGGCGCTACTGTATTGTTCACCGTTGAGCGGCGCGTGGCGGTTTGGTGGCGATACTCGTATTATAATTTATTGTTAACAGGTAAATATATTTCATAAATGTTTCTTTGGCTTGTATATTTATTTAATTTTTTGGATAAGTGCAATTCAATTAAATATAGGGTAATTGTGTTTTGTTTTAGATTATAACCTAACCTAGTCTTTCCTACAAAGATGTCAAGAAAAAGAAAACATAGTTCTTTGTGGACACATTTCACGGAGGAAAACGATAACAAGAAAGCAAAATGCAAGCACTGTTCGACATTAATAAGTATTGCAGGAGGCTCAAATGGAAACTTAACTCGGCACATGAAAACAAAACACGCTTTGATTTCATTAAAAGTTGAACGACAACCAAAAATTATATCAGTTTTAAATTCAGTTCAATCTAACCAATCCACATCTGATTCGGGTAACAATATTTCGTTTTCTTCCAACGTAGCAGAATCCCAACAAACAATGAATGAATACATTCGTAGACCACCAGCTATCCGAAAGGTTGAACAAATAGACAAACAAGTTGTCAAGATGGTTACCAAAGGACATCACGCTTTACGAATAGTAGAAGAAACAGAGATGCAAAAACTCATCGAATTAGTTTCTCATTGCCCAGGCTACCAACTCCCATCAAGAAAAACTTTACCAGAAAATTTAAAATCGAGGATACATGAAGAAATAAAAGCCGATGTATCAAATAAAGTGCAAGCTTAAAGAGAATGTCTAAATTTATTATAGAGAATATCGACTGATAAGCGGACGAACGATGTCACTGTAGGAAGAGGAATTGTTATTTCTTTTTATTTTTTTGTACCTGACTTTAGGTAAAGTATTACGTAGTAATAACGGTTTAATTTTGTTTTTTAATTTTTAATTTAGTGTTAATTAATTCTTTTAACAAAGTATTACAACCTATATCACGTAATGTTAAGATAAAACCTGTTAAAGACTGTTAAAAGACTGATATTTTTTATGAGATAGAGATTACTAATTCTAGAGATTAAAAGATGATAATTTACAAACTGGTATTGTCATTAATTTTACCTAAATAAATTGTTGATCAACGCAAGCGAACCAGACAACAAATAGTAGGTCTTTCGAGACTTGAAGTAGTAAACTAACGAACTAAAAGATCGAACTAGTTCGTTAAAGAGCTGCGAACTAAAATAACCGCTCCCGATCGCGACCTATAATGCGCAAGACTAGATTCCACATCAATTCAAATGTGATCAAACTTCATTGAAGTCAATAATATCTTTGTTGATATAATAAAAACGTATAATAAAGACACTGATATAAAATTTTGAAAATTATAAAATAAAGATTATCTTACATTATCAAATAAAAAGAAATTCAGCATACTTCTTTTAAGTGTAAACAATATTTCAATGTAACACTTAACTGTAACACCACTTCACTTACTAATTACCGAATTATTACTGTAAGGCGTGTTCTAACAGAAAAAAGAACCTCTGAACAAAGTTCTCTCCTAAATCTTGAAAATAAAACAAATTTAACGAGGTAACTTTTTCTATGGCGCCGAAGTTTTCCTGACAAAGTGATTTCTTTAGACAAGACGGTTTATTATTTTTAATTGGTACAACCGAAAGCGAAATATGTTAATAACTGTTGGTCTGTTTTTGGTGACTTCTTATGTTTAGATTTGTTGTAGTGTATTTCACATGTACAGTCAAAACCAATTCAGCTTCCAAATCACGGAGAGGACAATTGACTAATAACTTTTGATCATCCATCCGACGATTGACCAAAGGAAAAGTTGCCTAACTTTCGGAATGACGCTAACCATTACATCGTCAATACACGTTCTCTTTAAGAGCCCTATTACAAATACAAACAAACTCGCTACACGGCAATACAAATTGAGCACGAACTGCCGGTGCATCGCATTTTGTAGTAATTATTCAGTTATTTATCGCTTTCATTGAAATAGGATATTAAATTGTTTGAATCACGAAATTTTTAGTTCTTATGCAGTAACAATTATTTGGGTACAAATTCAATAATATCATCGTATATATCATATAGATATATTTTCTAAGTTATTTGTTTAACAATAAAAAATTTCTATACTTAATCAATGATATTTCAAATTTCGATGCCGCTACTAACTATAAGACTATATAGGATATAACATTATTTTTTATTTTATTTGTTTAGACTAGTAGATCAATACAGATGCCACGCGCATTTTATGTAAATCTTTCTCTTAGATTTTAGGTTTGATTAAAACTAAAGCACAATTTACAAAAAGCCAAGGCGCTTCGATCTACGCAAAAAGTTATTCTCCACTATTCAATAAGTCAAATTAGTAATAGTTTTTTGATTTCGAGATCAAAAACGATAATTAAATATATATATATATATATCGCATTAGAATTCTTATTCACTTAAGAATATAAAAAAATACTATTTCCGTCGACTTATTCTCTTATTCTAATTTTTATTGACAAAGATGTCGATACAAATCAATCAGTATTTCAACTGAGCCCTTTGTCTGAAATTTTACAATCCCTCCGCGTCACACGATATTTCAAAGCGGATTCAATATGTGGCCGAGATCCGAGCGCTACCTTCTGTTACCGGGGAAGGCTAATAAGTCAAGCCTTTATAAAGCTAATGTGAACCATTTAGCACGCTCGGTAACCGATGATTCTTTCAATATTAGCTATAGGACGATTTAAGGGTACTGATACCTTTGCCTGAATAAAATTTTAAGTGGTTTTAATTCAGTCATTTATTATAAGCGATATATATATTATTTCTGAACGCGATATCTGTTAGTTACATTATTAATTAACGACTGTATTTTTCTAAATAGATTTGTTTTCATAATAAACATTCATATTGCACTCATAACACATGAGATGCGACAACAGAACGCATAAACGCTGCAGCAACGCTCATTGCAATCCAATCACACAACACAAAGGGCCATCCTAATTAACTTTAGATCAAACGATATGACATTGTCGTGAGATTAGAGTGATCGTGCGACAGTGTAATAGATTTTGTCTTATAAAATAGTAAACTACCCATCGCGCTTCTAACTCATCTACATGGTATCTCCTCTAATACTAATTACCAAATAAAAGACTGAAAAGTGTTCTCTTTCTCTTAATCAACGATTCGATCGCACGATCAAATCTAACGTAACGTATTAATAAGTTATCAATTAGAAGAAAGGATTTAATTTATTAGTGTTTTATCTCGTCGTGCGACAAAATCAAATATTTTTACGATTCTAACAACTATGACGACGTATATCGAAAACCGAAGACAAAAGTGTGTGAAGGTAATAACAATACTAAATATATACAATGATTATGTGACAAAAACCATTGTAATTTTATGAACCAAAAGCCTTCCACTTAAGCTTCCACCTAGGAATTAATACCGCCCGATCCGGCTTTTACAATAGTCCCCATGATTCATTACCATATATTGAAATTTTAATTGAAATCAGAAATGTTTCATACAATGGGCTGGACAGAAGTGGCCTCATAAATTTTCGATTCAATCTTTTACATAACATTATAGTAATATCAATTTTAATTTATTAATGAAGCTATTATCTTGTGGTGACCTTTTTGATTGATTGGTAGCAGCTTGCGATAGTTAATTTTTGATAATGCTGGATTAATAATTAATAAGTGCACTAAAAAATAGATAAAGATGATACATCACTATAATCAGTTCACTATAATCTGTTCCTGTATCTTCAATTCATTTTTAATGTATTAGAAGAAAAGAAATAAAATGAAATTTCAATTAATTTTCATCCAGGTACTACCGCCATCACTCAGAATTTAATATTATCTAATAATTGAGATCTTTTTATAGATCGCGAGTAAGAACAAATATTTTTATTTCAAAAACTATATTTTATACAATACAAAAAGAAGATCAAAGTAGATACTTTCGAATAAAACATATTCGAAGTAAAACATAGCTTATATAATTTGCTAAGGGCGCGGCTTCAAATTTGTGAAAGAATGTTAACAATCGTTCTAGTAGTTTTTGAGTTTATGTGTAATACAGATAAACAGAAAATAATATCTTTCCTCTTCATAATAATAATAATATCTATTAGTGACGCCCCAAAAAAAATTCTGCTGGCAGTAAACTTTTTCCTACTATAATTGTGCCCTGAGGAAACTCAATAATATTTACTCGTAGCTCAAGTTTATTGATTCAATATCTGATATCACAAACAGCGGTTGGCTTTCATACTGCACAGGTAAAGCACTCGGTACTATAATTAAAATTCAGATTGTAGTATTTCCTGCCTTAATATTTGTGCTGTTATTTATTTATTCTAGGAATATTTATTTCAAATACATGCTACATTATAATAAATATATAAAGGTATATATTTGAATGGATTTTATAAGATTGCGTACGAGACCGGCGTGTGTAAAAGTAATAACTATTAGATTACAACAATTCAGTTTTGAAGAGATTAACAATTTATGAGTTCTCTAGTTAAGTGCCTAATTTATTTTTTGGAGATACGAAACAATAAATGCTTTATTTGGTTTTAAATGTAGGATCTTTTGTAATGTCTTGATACAACTCTAAATAAAAGAATTGTATTGAGCGTCGTTGTAAATGAAATATTACAATTCAAACCAGTAGGTTCTGAAATTAGCGTTTTCAACCAAAGAACCAAATTCTTCAGATTTATAATTATAGTAGCTGACATGACAGACCCATCAGTCATTGTACACAGCCACATAGTTATTATTAACAGCTAACGATGTAATGTGTTGACATTACTATTGATTTTTACTTGATAAATAAATACATAAATAATTCGACGTATTTAAGCAGACTTATGCAAAGAAGAAAGTTAGGAACGCTGAATGCTTTTTAGTATGAGTTCCACCAAGTTTTCAGTTTAATAGTAATTATTTGAAGTTATTTAAAATAAAGTTGTGCCAAAAACCCCAGTGTTAATTTGCGGCGTTCATATTTAGTATTTTACTCAAACACTAAACTGAAATGTTAAACAAAAGAAAACAAAAATTAACTAATAAAAGTAATATGAAAATAATTCATAATCACTACAAAGGCACCTAAATGACTTACTTCTGTGAGAAGAAGAGAGAAGAATAATCAGGATTATTGGTCCTTTGCATCACTTTCAAAATAATTTTGAATTATATATATTAAAATGACGACATTTTATTAACATAATGTTGAACAACGTTCGTTTGGTATTGTGGTTGTTTTTTTCAGATTCTTCACGCTCACGACAAGAAATTTTTTATTCGTATTTATTCCCGGAAAATGTCCATCCTCACCCTTGATCTTTAATTATGTATTTTACAATTTCCTTACCTCATTTCTTGTGCATATTTTTCTATATCCTACATGTTTACTACATCTTCTTTTCTCATTATTCTTAATCTATGTACATTATTAGGATTTGTTTTTTTTGTTCCGGGGGAGATACGTCGAGATGAGCAAGACTAGTATGGATGAAAGAATTTATTAGAAAAAAATTACTTTACAAATTAATAAAAAGGTAAAGCAGAACGATGGCGACGGGGTTTTAAAAAGATTAACAAGAGTGCTTCAATGGAATGGAGTCCCAGCTCAGATAGCATTTCCCAGTAGCCGCCCGGGTGCAGATACTTCCAAGGAACTTCCTTATACAGCGTTCACTTAGACCATAATTTATAATCTAACAAAAATAACACGATTCAAATATCAACTAAATACCAGTAGCACCATTGAGTGATAATAGAACTTACGGCGTTTAAAGAAATAGGTTTAAAAACATTATTATTAATATTTAAGCTATAATTTGAGTAATTCAAAGAAATATTTTCAGGGAAAATACTGAAATTCGAAATAGACTGAATAATAATTTTGTAGCGTATTTGCCTTGTTAAATATCAGTTCTATGTAAATTATTTCATTGAAATCTGAAAATAACACAATTTTATTTGACAATATTGATGGTACGCGGTTTTCACAAAGTCCGATTATAGGAATTCGACATTTTTTAAATATAATATTCACCAAAAATATAGCAAAATTAATCTGGATTATATCTTTTTGAGGAAGATATATCAAGAAGGACATCAAAATTTGTTTAAGTGTTGCATAAAAAACGAAAATCTACGACTAAATAGTTAATGGGGGAAGTTAGCTATTAGACAAACTAAAGCTGTTAGAGAAAAAAATGGTTGCTATATTAAAAAATACCTGACAATTTGAAATAGAAACAACAATTTTCAAAGAAAACAAAATTATTTTTATTGTTGACCAGTGTTATAAGTTCCAAAGATTAATTATTATATATTTTTTTACATTATCCTTAATTTGATGGAAATTATTTTGTGTGTGTGTC